AAATTCATGAATTCATTGGAACCTCAATAAAATTCGTACGCGGGGTTTTTCAGTGCCTCTTTTGCTGTTTGCCACCCTATTTTAAACCTATATATTGGAATATATTGATACTTTTTATAAGAGCTATTATTTGCGAAGACTTGAAACTTTGATGGCTAATAGTAATAATAATACTAATTTCTAAATAATGCCAGTTTACAGGCATTGTCAGGGAAGCGTTAAACACAAATCCGACCAACAGTGAAAAAAAAACTCCCGTGGAAAAGGAACAAAAATATAGTTGATGGGGGTTTTTATGGTTTGGAGGGTTCAGGAGAAAAAAACTGCTGACGACAAACGTTCGACCGTCAAGAAGGGAGGGGTTGCACGGTATTGGATATAATCAGTCGCCACTTTCTTTCATGAAGTTAGGGTTAGTCTTACCAGAAGCGCCGAAGAACAGCTGTCGCTGTTGGCCAAAGAATTGTCCCCGGTGAGGCCAGTCATAGGGTTCAGAGACCACAAACGTCGTCGCTACGGTAGAGTCGATCAGTGTATTCAGCACCCAAAATTTGTGGGAGCTTTTCGGAATACAAAAACCGAGTAATATTTCTCTTAAATAGGATAATTTTGTAGATTTCTTACATTCCTGGGTGGTTTATTCCAAATGGCAATTACATCTACAGAAAAGAACCGACGATATTTAACAGTACGTGCCAGAGGCAGAAATAAATAGACCTCACTGTGACTGTTACGTCGGGGGTGGACATGATGTCTTAAAGAGGTGAGTGGGTTAAATGTGTGATTACATAAGAGCTTCAATAGCAAAAATAGTCCCTTTTTTAATCTACGGAAAAATAAAGGATCAAGGCCCGTAAGCCGGCAACGTTCTTGGTAAGACAAATGTCGGTGTACGGGGGTTAAAATTCTCTTGGTAATAAAGTGTTGAACGGATTCTATTTTCTTCCGCTCAGTAGCACGCATTAGGCTAAATAAAAACGAAGAGTATTCCAGGCCAGGTCTAACATACATGTTGTAAAGGTGCATTCTAATATCCCTAGTTTTAAAGTTTCGGAGGATAAATCCGGCCGTTCTACGTGCTTTGGAGACTATCAGGGCACAGTGCTCCAAGAGATTGAGGCCCTTGGAGTATGATACGCCCAGATCCTTGATAACCCCAGGCACATTTATGACATGACGGTTGGCGGTCGTCGCTAACCACCATGACTGAGCACTTATGCCAGGAAAGAGAAAGGCGCCATGTGCGGCACCATTGGGCGAAAGCCTGTAGATCGCTCTTTAGGAGCTAAAGCACGATGTCACGATCTGCCGGCTTACACTGATATGCAACTTTAAGATCATCGACATACAGGAAAGGCATACCATTCTGGAATAAATCGGGTAAATCATTAACGAAAGGCAAAATAAAAGCGTGCCAAGTACCTTATCCTGAATGACTCCACTCCTCACACATGTGGGATTGGAGATAGTATTGGAAATCTTAACTCGTTGTGTACGAGTGTCCAGGTAAGAGGATATAAAATTCAGAATTTTCTCACCTATTCCAAAAGAGGACAGTTTCAAGAGAAGAAGATCATGGTCAACACGATCAAAAGCCTTAGTGAAATCTAAATATACTGTGTAAAGTGCAAAACCATTGTCCCTAGACTGGAGAAGATGGTCAAAGTAAGAGAGCTGACAAGTGTCACAAGACCGAGCTTTGAGGAATCCATGCTGTGCAACACTCAGTACGTTATTCTCTGTTAAGTGACACATCATTTTATCTTTGATCAATGTCTCTAAGATCTTCGAAACTGCGGGGAGGGTGTTCATTGGCCGAAAGTCATCAAATGACGTAGATTTGCCGTGCTTAGGAATGGGCAAAATGTGTGATTCCTTCCAAACGATAGGATAAGTTCCACCTTCAAGAGCGAAATTAAATATCTTGCATAAGAGGGATGGGAAAATCGTATTCGCATCGGCTTTTAAAATGCGTACTGGGACACCATCAGGTCCTGGACTATAAGATTGATAAAAACGCCGAATCGCAACAGTCACATCCCACAGATTGAACGTTATAGTTCCTAGAATTGCCAGTAGCTGCCTTCTACTGCGGAAAAATGCGGGAGGTCAAGCGCCAGAATGTAAGTGTTTGCTTAACGTAAACGCAACTGCCTCCACCACGGCTATCTTGGCGATCATTTCGAGTGCAAGTATAGCCTAGAAGCGAGAGTTCGGAGTCAGCCACGGAGACTGATGCCTATAACTCAGTTACTAAAACAATATCCGGACAATGGACGAATTCCAGAGTCTGAAACAAGGACATCTTATTAAGCAAGGATCTGGTGGGACCCCGACGGGTCTTTAATAAAAATTATCTATCTATCTATCAAACAACAAGTTTGAGGGGAAAGGCTGTTTGCTTCTGAGGGAGGTGGGTTACGTCGTCCAGTGCTTGGCTGCCCACGGAGCAAACGGTCCGGATGCAACCATCCGGTTCTGCAAAAAATTTTGTGTCATCATAAGATTCTGACGTGTATAAAAATGGGTAGGACTTGGGGGAGGAAATGACGGGCAGGTAAATTGGTAACCATTGTTAGCTAAGTCATTTTCAGCTGGGTTTCAGCAATTGGATTTGTCTTTGACTTAGGCACATGCTTAAGCTTACTAGGGGTTGCTGGGGGGATCGTTAGGGCATTTGTATGCCAGGCGTTTTGTTGCTTCTAAAGATCTCAACATCAGTAGTAGTCGAATTCCCTACGGTATTGACAATGTCGTAAAGTGAAGGGGCCGCAGACTATGTTGTAGAGGACTTATTCAAACTGACAGTAGGTGTCAGTTTCTTGGTCTTGGTTTTTGCCGATTTTATTTATTCAGTCTTCGCTGCCACGGTGTGAGGTCTGGCGAAACGGAGCAGCGCTATTTACGGTAGAATTCTCTAGTTCTCTCCCTCCTCGACAAGATAAAATCGAATTCTGTCAAGGAGAAAAGGGTAACTGGTATCGGCGCATTACGGCAAAGCGAGCGCAGTCGTTTAGCTTGTGCGACACTGAAACACAAGCCACAACTTTGTAGGAACAAATGCGCTCCCTCCATAGCAGATAGGTGGCTCAGAATGAATATCAATACCTGTTCACGTTTTATATTACGCCCATCTCAGTTGTATCACACATATGTCTTTACTAAGCGAATTGCTGCACGAAAATAAATGCACAAGCCATCGTTATTTAGATAACTGCGTGGTTTACATTGCCAATGCCCTTCGGTTCCTTAACAACGGAAGAATCAGTGCTTTCAGCCTTTGGATTGTATCGCGCTTACTCTGATCGTAAGCTTGTCATCAGGCTGGTGACTGTAGATAACATGTCGGAAGGAATTCGAAACTCACTTTTCCTTGTGTATCGTAATTTTCAGCTCCGGCAAATTTCAATTTATTCGTTCCTTACAATAACGCTGCTTGTTCTCGCCTGTAAATCAGAGGTTTCGTCCGCACAGGTGTTTAGATACTGCTAGATTTGAAAGTCCACAGATTATCGAACTCATCTAGGTGACCAATATTTACTCATATGTGGGGCTAGCTGATATAAAAAATCTTCTGGGACAGTATCCATGTGTTGTCTGAAATTCTGAATTGAGGGCTAGCCTCTTGTTTTGATTGTAGCTTTGATCATGTTAATGATGATGATAATAAATATAACTTTTGATTAAAGACCTGTCGGGGTCCCAGCAAAGCAAGTAAAAATAAATTTACATAGAATTTCAGACGACGTAGGCAGAATCTGTAAAAATGCAATTCGTAGTTTCTGAATTTGTA